GCATGCAGCACCTGGAATCTTCTTGCTTTAATCTTTGCATAGTTTATTGAGGACTTTGAAATTAAGAGCAAATTAGATGCAAGAGATTATGGAGAGGTTTTCATATTTTCATTATGTCTTACCTCACAGAAAAATGTGCTTTTGGTAACTGTTCTATTTGAATTTACAGTCTAGTGCTTGACATGCTCAGAAGTTGTGTTTTGATGGATATTTTATGAGAAAAGTACTTATTTTCTGTATAGAATGTACATTGTCAGTGATACGCTGCAAAGGAAGAGCTGAGCACCCTTGAAGGAACAAGACTGCAACTTCATTTAGCAGCAGTAACCTGCATAAGAGGAGCATCAAGCAGTTCTTGACAATTCACACCATACTGTTTCTCCATGTGGCACACAAGCCAGTAAGCACACACTGTGGTTTGAAATGAGCTGTGTAACATTGTAAGATCAAACCGACCCTTCATGGATGAGATTCTTCTTGCATCAATAGAGTAACAGAAAATTACCTCATTTGTCTCAAAATGGCATGATAGAGCTTGATCACTCAAATCTAAGATGCGCTAAATTGAAACTAAGCAGTTATTTTCTCATTAATTGTTCATTTTTAGTTCAGTTTAATGTATTTAAATTAACATTTTTAAAAAGCTATGTCACTTTTTGTAGAAGTCTTGTCAAATGAGAGAGCTCACAAATCAAAAATTTACGAATCTATAAATAGCATTTTTGCTGTAATGTGTGTTTAAATATAGCAGCCTTTAATGAGCAGATGCTATGAACCATTAATTTTTTCTAATAATGGGAACAATTCAATTTTTTATCTTTTAAACTGTTAACATCAGCATGCTTTAATTGCATGCAAGTAAGGAGTTGTACCATAAAAAGGTTAACTTTCATGAAACTGGTCATAGGAAGCATAAACAAATTAATCTTCATCCATTGAAAAAGAGCACAATGTGCTTGGAAGTTCTCATTTTTCAGTTTCTTAAGTCCTGGAATTTTCTGAAAAATAGAAGATCAAAGTCTGATTTTACCTATATATGTCTGCACATGAACTAGGTGGGCATAAACTGCTCAGTCAGAAGCATAATACTTAGATTTTGTCATTCAGTCTTATCAGTTTATTAGCATTGTTTGCATTTATCTATGGTTTTTTTCTTTTTTTCCTCTTTCCTGCATGTGTATGTTTATTCATCAGAAACCTATGCAGTAAAATCAAGATTATGATATTAAAGCACTCCCAGCCCAACAAAAGGATGTAGTAAAGTTCAGGAAAAAGAGCAGTGCAAGTCTCTGGCATCAGATGACACTTGGCCGTAGTTGTGCATTTCTCTGGTGTGGGAGGGCTGGATAGGAGTCTCCAGAGACTGTGGATAGAACAACCAAAAAGTGATCAGAAACCTCACTTCACATTTTGAAGAAGAGACAACCCAACCGTGATCCTAAGCTGCTATGGGATAGCAGGTCAGAAGCCTGCTAGTACAGACTAGTCAGGCTGTGAGATGAACACAGCCCTTTAATGTAAGTGTTGGTTGGTTCTGCCCTCTTTTGAAGCCTGACAGCCCAGTTATCTGGGGACTACGCTACTGAAGGCATGTTCTATAGTTCTGGCTATATTGTATTTCTTTCAATACTGCCAGTTGGATGTGGACCCCAGTGTGAATCACACTAAATAATAAAAGAGAAAGGGGAATGCAACCTAGATGTCATCAAAACAAACAAATATCTGTACAGAATCAAAAACTGAGCTTCAGCTCTGCATTCACAGGGAAGGACATTAGTGCTTGTGGCCATCTCTAGCATGGTCTGTGTTGCAAAAATGCTCTGCACTGTGGACCATTGTTTAAAGAAAATTCTCTTAAAAAAATACAAACAACCAACATCTAACAACCAAGTGAGTTCCTTGCATGAAAATATTCTGTACCACATGATTGCTCCGTTGAAGAAAGGAGCAAGATCACCTTCCGTATCTGCCTGTATCTAGTGGATGTTACATAGTTCCAAAGTGCATTATATTGGAAAGAGATTTATTTCTAAATAAGAAGTAAAAATAACTTGTCTATTATATCATAATTAAGCAATGATCTATGAAAAAGCTATGCACATTCTTCCTTTTTCTGAGTAGCTGAGCCTGCTTCAGCTAAAGCATCAGAAAAGGTGATAGATAGACCTATACACCTGTGCAGGACCAAAATTTCAATTTTCTTTTAATTTCTTTTGTTTGATATTTGCATCCAAATAGGTGTTTAGACCAGAATTCTGAAACTTGGATATTGCAGGTGAAAACAAAAGTGAATTTTAGTGATATTTATGCATAAAAATGCTATTATAGCATTTATTTTTGGTTTCTGATATTTGTAGATTAAGATTTCAGTACCTATAACTAAAAATTAAGTGGTACTGATATAACACAAAAGTTTTCCTTAATAGAAACAAAAATGTAAAGAAGAGAAAATATGCATGCCTGAAAAGCCTTCATTAGATGTTTTTTCCTCTTTCTCTTTTAAGTAATGTGTTCTTTCTCAGGGATTTATTTCTTCTTCTAACTCCCTCTTCTGTGGTCTTTTCTTTCAGATGATGCCAATGAAGGGAAAAGGCAAGGTTTCAAAACAAACAAACAAACTGGAGTCCATTGTTTCTGGTGCTTTCAGTATTGGTTTACTTCAGTACAGCCATTTTTTGCTTACAGAGTTTTAATGATTTCAAAACAAAGGATATCCAAACAAACAAAGTGAGGGGAGTACTTAATACACCTTATTTTCTGCTTTTATTGAAAAGAGAAGCTAAGGTTGACCTGGAGGCATAGTTCTGTGCAATGTCAGATCTGTTGTAGGTCCAATACCAGTCCTGTTTGTTTGTCTCTGACATTTTTAAGGGTTGGGAGTGCAGTATGGGCTGCATGCTGAGTTGTTAAAAATGTTTGTGGAGTGTCTGATGTCAATCACCATCAGCCTTCCAGCTGCTTGAGGACCATCACTGGCAAAATCCTATGGGAGCTCTCTCTCTCATCCTCAAGTGTAACAAAAAAGGAAGCAGAAATCCCTGGTATGATAAAAATGAAAAAAGATAATCAGGGAATTCTTAGGCTTTGAGAGAAAACATGGAGTACCATGTGTTGAGTCAGAGAACACAGCAAAAGGTACAGCCATTTTTGATCAGAATGCAGTTTTGTGGAAAGAGCTCATGAGAATTACCATGTGAATTACTGAGCCCGAGTCTGAGTTCTCACTCTTCCTTAGTTTTCTAGCTCAGTAACTAGCAACATTTAATGTCCTCAGACCTTCTGTAATTGAGAATAAATGACAGCTAAGGCAGGCCCTCTGTTAGCTAGTGGGAGGTGAACAGAAACTGGCTGAAGAGAGGAAAACATTAAGTATAAGCTGAAACAACATTGTAGAATAAAGGACAGAAATAATCTTATACCTCCACTATTCTTTTGGCCAGTTAATCCAAAGAGGAAAAGCAATATGGTATCTGGATTTTGAAGCTGAAATATAGTAACAGTATGGTATTGAAAAACATGCTAGTCATCTCTCATGCTCATAAATTAAATTCTGCCTGGTGCAAAATTCTGCACTAATAGTATTATCCTTTGAAGGGATGTTTTTTTGCTCCTTTTTCTTTTTCTTTCTTTTTCAGATAAACTGGTGCTGGTACATGAGGATTATGCATAATAAAGTATTGTTCAAAAAATATGTTCAGATGTAAACCAAGATGAACTAGTGCAAGAAGGGATTGAACATATAAAACAGATGATAAAACAGAACACCTGAATGCCTTTTACATGCACAGCATAGTTGTTTAGAAGAAAAAAACCACACACTTAATTTATTTTTTTTAAAAAAGAGAATTTTTATAATGTTTGATGAATCATCCCAATATTTCCTCCACTCTTAAGAAATTGAGTTTGTTCTGATTATTAATGTCTACTTTCCTGTGTGCATATTAGATTATCTATGCATTTATCAGTTATACTGCAAATTTTTATTTATCAACATTGATTTTCTCTGTAGCTATATACAGAGTAAATAAAGAGATTCTTCTTACCTAACAAAGCTAGGTAGTAGTCTGAGGGTACTATTTGGACTCCCTTCTTTGTCAGAGGAGAGAAATAATCACCTCTTAGAGGCTTGTCCTGTTATGAGTCTACACTGGGGGGATGTCTTGTTAGGTGGAATGCTTCTACTTTAAAACATAATTTTTTATAAGCAAAATGCTTCTTAGTAAAATGTCTTTTACTAAGTAATTTTTCTAACCTTTCGTCATTCACTAGCATCTTCTTTGCCTTTCCATGTTTGTTTACGTTATTCTCAAATCATTGTAACTCAGGACAGATTGCTGTAGTGACCAGGCTAATTACATCAGGAGGCATAGAGTGTTCTAGATTCTGTCTTCATTTTGCCCAAATATTTCTGCTCTATTTATTCCTTCTATCTTTTATTGGATAAGAAGAAATTTTGATGCTTCTTTGCTATTAAGTGGGAGAATTTGAGAGTTTGGGAGCCAACACTGACAGGATCTGAGTGTTGCCTTTGTGTGTTTCTTGTGGCTCAGGATTTTCTTGGGATGGTGGTGACCATTAAATACGAATTTGATATTAGCTAAAGAAATGTCTAGATCTGGAATGCTTCGTCTAGGACTGGAAATTGTTTCTCTAACAGAGAATTGTTTCTCAATCCAGAGCACTGAATAGCTGTGAATTAAGATGAGCTGTGTGTTCAGGTGCTACTGAGGACTTGAATCCAAAATCTGTCACAATCCAATAATAAAACCTGTCAGTTTTGCTGTGCAGAGTAATACAACAGTGCACTCCAAGCTGAGTGACAGATCTGCCAAGGCTCTTAAGGGAGGGGCTGGCTCTATCACAACAGCAGCAGTGCAGCAGCAATTGCTGGGCTTTGAAAAAAAATTTATCCTCTTCCATCCCACCCCCTTCTACCTCCAGAGCAGTGGGAAGGCAGCAGCAGTCAGGAGAGGGAGGAGAGTGCTGGACGCTGCGCAGAGCAGAGGGAGGAGTAGGAGACGGGAATGCATAATGCGTGAGTGACAGAGGGCGTGCAGGCGGCTGGCGGAGTCCAGAAGACGCGGATGTTCCTCTCCCAGGGTCCAGGTACGTCTGTTGTCCCTCTCTCTGAGGCAGCAGTTGCTTTGGAAGCAGCTGTATCAGGTGTAGAGATGTTCTCTGTCCAGCCCGCGGTTCTGCAGGCAGCACCTGTTGCGGCAGGGCCGGGGTTTAGCAGCGGCAGGCACTGAGCCTGCCGCTCATCCATGAGGGGCTGCTGGAGGGTGACAGTCTGCTAAGGTTTCTGTTGTTCCAGCAGCTTCTCCTGCTGCTCTGCAAAGCCGGGCAGGTGGAGACAATACTCTTTCCAATGGAAAATCCGGTTCTCAGGGGATGCTATCAGGATGCAGCTCAGTCTGAAGATGACAATTTTTGATTCTCAAGAAGGAACAAAACATTGGCAGTTTAAATTAGGTGAAGAAAGAAGGGGAGGGGCTGCCTATGCACTGTTCATTTTAAAGAAGAGTGAGTTGAAAGTAAGAATTAATTTTTCAAATCATTGTCTAATAAGTAATAAGTTTTAAACATTAATAATTACAATATGACATGTAATTACAAATAGAAATACTGCATTTGTTTTTGCTTTTGATGTGTTGAGTCTATATAAGACATTGCATAATTCAGTCTTGCTAACCCAGATAAAGTTCAAATGTATATGGAACTCGTTGCCAAAATCAGTCATTGTTTTTTAATGAGTCTGTAAGTGCTTTATAGTGCAGATGTGAAATAACATGTGATTTTAAGAAATCTTATTCATTATATAGAAGCCAGAAGAGTTTTAATTTTTTTCTTAATGCATATTTTCTAGAATAGATCTTTCAGTTAAGTGCTAAGTATTTTGTGACTCTTAGGGCATTATGAGGGCAGTTTATTGACTGAAGATAGAATGTGATATATTTAGTTTATCTGTCCCTTAAGCCTAGAACAAGCTTCTCCTGCTAAACAGATTTCAGGGTTTCCATGTGGAAAGAATGAAAAGAACCAGATTCCTGAGGAAATCAAATGATTTGTGGTGTAATAGGCTTAGAAATGAAATGGGCAAATATTTGATAATAAAAGAGCTACCACATTTCAAGGGTGTACAATTTATAATTTGTGGTTATTACTGGTAGTTATGATTTTATTGATTTCTAAAGCTCAGCTTTATGCTTTAGCAGTTTTCTAATACACTTTTGTGTTTTAATAGCTTTAGATGAAGAAATCAATGATGTTTACTAAATTTACATCTGAGTAATTTATTAATTAACAGTGATAATGGGACCACATGCTTATTAGATTGTAAATATGGTTTGTGTCCTGGACTCGTGAAAATCCATGGGAAAAATGGTATCTATTTTTGTGAAGACAGGTGCTGGGAAGTTTACTTGTGCTGTCAGCATTTTTAAGGTTGAAAAACAATGCTGGATGAGTTTCAAATTGTTGGTGCTAGTGAATGAGATTGATCCTCATGCATTCAAATCTACTGTGCAATTCTTCCCAGAGAAATTGTTGTGAGATTTATTTGAAAGAAATTTTCAGAATTGGGTCTAAATCATAGCCTGTATTAAAATCTCTACTTCCTATGGAATTTTGTTATTTAAGCTTATTATCTTCAAGGGGTTTTTCATTTGCTTTGGAACCCCATTTAAATAAAAACAGAGTGCTTAAATCTACAAATACTTACATGAATATTTGAATTAACACCTAAATATGATGACTGAAATTAAAATATTGGAAAAGCTATGAAAGTGTATTCCTTTAGTTGTGTAAGACTAAAGAAGAATACCACTACAAAAGTCTGTGAGGATCTTATTCCTTGGGCAGCAATGAATTGTTAACAATTTGTGAGAAAAATATAAATGACCTAGAAACCACCTTTGATACTGTTACACAGCTACGATAGTTGTTCAGGATTGTGGCATGGTAACAGTGAAGGGATTTTTAATAAGTGTGGTTTAAAAAGTGTTCTATAAGCTTAACATTACTTTATTTTTAGAATGTTTTACTGAAAAATTGGAAAAATATGTTCTTGCTTCACACTTTGAAGAGAGATTTAAAATTTGTCTCAGCTACATCTGAAGTGTTTTAGTCCAAGGTGTTCTTGAAAGCATTGGAACAGTAAAATTTATGTATGACTCATGGTATTATTTGAGATAGGGTACCTGATGCAATTTAGCTAAATTTTATTTCTGAATAATCCTAACATCTTCCAGGGTGTTCCTGGTATCGGGTCAATTCTAAGAAATAAGAATTTCTTAGATTCAGGTCTAAGAAATTAAATCTATTGGGTCAAAACTAAGAAAAACAAAAACATAGACAAGAGTAAATAAAAAGAATATGGTGAAATTATTTGCTTATGGACTATTAGGCATCAACCTTCTAAAAATATGATCATAAATATAATTTGTACATGTGTAGTCCTCTTGATCAGCTGTACTCATTTGTGGAAATTGTGCTTGCATTTCAGCTCTACAAGATTGGCCAGTTAAGGTATAGCCAATTTTGTACATGCACGTGAATACAACAGTTCTTTTCCTCTCTAGAAAAAAGCATATATAGTGTCTAAATGCTTCTCTCAATATGTATTAAGAGTATCTCCATATCCAACTGAACTTTATAAAGCCATTGCCATCAGTTGTAGGCATTGTCATAGTTCCTCAAATTAAAGACTTATGTCTGTCTAATAGGAGCTAAATTACGATTTGTTAAGGGGAAAAAAAAAGATTGACAGGGAAAAACAAAATTACCTGTCATTTGTCTTACTACAGGTGGACCCAATGTACCATATTTTATTCAGGAAAAAAATTACTAAATGACAAACAATTTCACAAATTTCTGCAAAGTCTCACTTTAAGTAACTTTTTTGTAAATAATCTCACTGAGAAATACAAGTGTAAATAATCACTTCCAAGATTTAGCTTACTCTATGTAAGAGTAAGAACTTGAACCAGAACTTGAGGCAGTTTGCAGAAACAATTTTCAAACTCTAAGTTCTGAAATACGCCTCAAATATGAAAAAAATGTCTCATAGATTGGTTTATGAATATTTCCTATAAAACTATTGTTACAGTTTCTTCTACTGAAATAATTTGTAAATCCAAACAAAGTTTGCAGTTAGGATAAGTGTGCCAGTACTTATTGAAACAGGCATATTTGACAGACTAAATTTATCTGGTAAAATTAAACAACAGAGAAGACGCTTTCTTGCTTATCACAGCTTTTGTGTTTGTGGATTTTTTTTATCAGGACAGAATTTTCTCTGGAATGTAACAGCAATATGATTTTTTCTATTTTTGTTCATCTAATTTTGTATCTTGTATAAATTCATTAACTGGAATACAGTTATGACTCTCATTTTCTGATGGCAAAAGAAACTTCTCAGTCACTTATCCTGGGCTGGTCCAATATGTTACTGCTCTGAATCATTTCGAGCTTTGCTTCATTAAGGGTTTAACATGGCTTTAATTCAGCCATCTGTTATGGGTTTGGCGGGCCAACACATCTGAGGTATTGGTAAGAGCTTTAGAAATTTCCCACATTTTTAAAGGTTAGGAAAAGAGCTACCTTTATGAATAGATTTTGAATAATTCTCAGCAAGACAATGGTGCAGAAGTGGAGTAAAAAATGCTTGTCATTCTCTGAAGCTCAGGGTCCCCTGTCTGCCTTTGGCTTTGCTGAAAGGCAATTAGCATTTCAACCAGCCAATTTGGTTACATGCAATGAAGTACTTGGGTTTGTAATTTGCTGCCTTTGGCTTGGTGCTGTTGAGAACTAGCTTTGTGTAATCCTCTCAAAGCACCTTTCTTTCCAGCATAGTTATTGTTGCTGGTCTTAAATAACTAATCAACAAAGAGGTTTCCTTGTCTTGGGCTGCAGGGTGCCTTAGAAGAATGAAAAGAAATACCCAGTTAATAAGGAAATGATTATAATTATTAAATAGTGATTATTAAACTGTGACATGGGTTAAAAGGTTTAGAAAGCCAGGCAAAGCAGAATACATGATAAAGGTAGTATAAGAAGGCTTTGGATCCAAACATATTTTGCTGAAGGAGTTCTGTTCTCTGAGAAATAAATACTTTATTATGTTTTGTCTAAAAGCAGATTGCCCAGATTTAAGAGATTAATCCACAGTACAGATATATATAGAGTGAGCACCACATGATAATCATCTTTACAAATTACACAAATATATTTTTACTTCTACAGAAAGAAGTCTTTGGGGGACTTTGTAACACACAGATTCTTTAATTAAGTCAACATCTTTTGTTGCAATCCAATGAAAAATTAAAACATTTTACTGTATAAAAGAGCCTTGTTTTATGTATGCCTTAAATTCTTGTATTTAATAATATGCTTTTTTGAACTCAAGAAAAATCTCAGTGATTCAGTTCTTGTAATAATAAGGCAACACATTAAAAAACTCTACTTGGCTCATACATGTGTATTAAATTGTAAGAATCCATTGTGGATAGCAACAGTTCTGTAAATGCACCTGAAACAATGCCATCTAATCCTCACCATGAGGCTTAATTTTGCTGCTCTGTACCTTAAAGTTTTGGGGTTTTTCTTGCAATAAAATTATGTATAAAGCACTGCTTCTATTTTTAGTTTTAAGTATGAAAAAAAATAACCACTCTACAGCTGAAACCCATGATTTCTTTTTCTGATATATACTATTCATTCAGGCCACGGAAATTCATTCACAGCAGATACTAGGTATTTGAAACAGTGATAGTTTTGTCCTCAGCTGCCAACATATGTTCTCAGCATTTGTTAAGTAAGAGTGTTGAGGACATGCAAAAAACCTCCAAAGCTGAGATACAAATGGAAATTATTGTGAAAGTTAAGATCTCTACTGAGATACATATAAATGGCTGATTTACAGTGAAGCCTGCAGACCTTCATCAGCTGTATATTCTGGTTCCATATGTGTTAAGAACCTGATCCTGTGGCATGATTAATCATGCTGTTACTTATACAAGTATTAGTTGAGAGTGCTAGTTTTAGTGGGGGTAGGGGGGTGGGGTTGGTTTTGACTTTGTTTGGTTGCTGGTTTTTGGTTTGTTGGG